TCACAGCTAGAATGAGGGAGGAGAAGGGAGAGGGTGTAGTTCGTGCAGATTTAAGAATAAATCTCAGGTTTCTGATTTTCAGAGCAGGGCCTTTCCCACTTTGCCACATTGCTTTCCAGCACTCTTCAACCTTGTTGGAATAGCATTTGCAAGTGAAATTCTAGTGAAGTCCCTAAATAATTGTCTGTAATGTTAATGCCATTTCATCGACTTCCATGTTTAAAAAACATGAAAACTTTTCTCAGACTCTGAGCCATCTTTCCCGTTATAGCCAAGTGTCTTTCTCTCATGGATTTCAACTTGGACTCTGGTTTGGGTTGGTTGGGTTTCATTTTTTACCTCTGGGATTTTAATTTGAAACTAGGGCTAGGATAACCTTTCCATGACATCTTTTGTTCCTCATTTCAAATGTGTTATGTTAGGTCTGAACTTAACCTTATACTTCTTAGTAGAGAAGATCATCTTTAAAACACTTTCTTTTAAAAACTGTTAAAGGGATAGAAAAACACAAGAAAAAAGCTTCACTAATACTATTCCTTCAGCAGCTTCTTTTGTTAATTTTATTAATTGTAGAACTGAAGTATAAAACAAACAGGAAGTAATAAAGTTAAAAACACTAACTGATGAAAAAACTAAATTTAAAAAAACTGAATCATTTAGAGGTTTCTTTACAAACAATAATTGAGACAATTTTTTTTGCCTTATAGGTTATATCTTTGAATTAAAATAAGACAGAAGTGTATTTTCAAGGGAGTATGCAGTTAGGGTTTGCTGATAGCTGTTATCTGTGGAACTTCAGAAATTCTTATTTAATGTGAAATTGGTTTATTTTATTTTATTTTATTTTATTTTTACTTAGGGAAAGGACCAGGGAAAAAGAGAGGCCCAACAATCAAGATATCTGGGGTTCAGGTTAATGTGAAATCCATTATACAACATGAAGAAGAGTTTGAAATGCTGCATAAATCTATTCCCGTGGACCCTGAAGAAAAAAAAAAGTAAGTATGTCACGTGCCCGCGCTTGGGTGGTTGTGCCACAGGAAAATAGCCTGGAAGTTACAGTTATGCGTAGTTGTGTGGTGTTTTCATTGTCTCTGCTGTAACACACCATTGTACCTTGGCCATGGTCATTTCTGTTCCTTTCCACATCAGAAAAGCCCCTCCTCCAATGCCCTCCTTGACATCCCTTCAGGTACTGCCTCACGTGTCGCGTCAAAGCTGCGCATTTCGACGTTGAGTGGGGAGTGGAGGATGATTCTCGCCTCTTGCTGGGAATTTATGAACACGGTTATGGGAACTGGGAGCTCATTAAAACGGATCCAGAGCTTAAGTTAACCGACAAAGTAAGTAACCCTGTGACGCTGGAGACTCCTAGATTCGTTCATCTTTTTATATCGATTACTTATTTTTAACTATTTTCCGGGTGGAGGGGGCATCAAATCGGACATTAGTACAATAGTAAACTCCTGGGATTTCTTATCCTTGGAAACGTTACAGCATCTTTAGTGGACTGTGGCACTGTTTCGTAGGTGAAGAGAATAGCCAGGTAATATTTTGGGGAAATTACAGGAGAAATCTTAAAGTTCTGATTTTTATTATAGGTTAGTCTCATTGCAACAAATACCAGGGTAAGATGATTAATAATACAAACATTTCTCGGCCTTAGTTGTTGGCCCTTTGTTTAAAACTGTATGTGAATCAACTGTATTTCACTTCTGCATACAGAGAAGCAATGAGCCACACCTTGGTGTTTTTTGTAATGGAGTTAAAAACCTCGGCTGGTACTTCTCCCACCAAACCTAGCCTCCCACCCTATCCATAATGCAGATCGGGCTACCAGGCAGTAAGGCCGTGCTCAGAGCTGTAAGCAGGGAAAGCTGACTGGCTCAAATTCTAGTGGGATGTGCTTCTGGCAGGGCTTTTCCTGGCACGTCAAACAATGCTCATCCCATGTACGATGCTCTTAAGAGGGTGACAGCACCCTGCCATAAGCACTGAGACCGAATCCAGTGTGGCCTGAGAGGTCCGTCTGTGGTAGCGGGACGGACGCTGTCCTGGCATGGCTCAGTGCTCTCCGGCAATGCTCTAAGAAGCATTTTCAATCTAAAACGAAGCTTTAACCTAGCTCCAGGGATTCCCTGCTCCTGGAAGGAGGAAATCCACGACGGCTGGGATGGTCTAGCAGATGAAGCCAACAAGCCCCTCCTACCTGAGTTGTTCTACCCTGTTAACAGCACAGGTAGGAGCCAGTGGGAGAGCTGGACTTCTCCATCCCATTTTGTAAAACGAGAACGGCTCATGAGGGATGTTCAGTGACTGGGAGCCATGGACATGAGATAGGATCTGAGGCTGTGTCTGTATTTCGGGTGGCTGGGGAGGGAAAGGACTGCTCAGTTCTTTGTCGCCTCTTGTTTATCCTGATCCACTAACCGGGACATGGGTGGTGGCGGGTGCTTTTCTTCCTCTCCTGTTGAAGATTCTGCCTGTGGAGACAGATAAAAAGCCTCAGGGGAAGCAGCTGCAGACCCGAGCAGACTACTTGCTAAAGCTGCTCAGGAAGAGTCTGGAGAAGAAGGGGGCCGTGTCGGGCGGGGAAGAGGTGAGTGCGGTGGGCAGCTGGGCATCCTTCGGGGGTCTGAGGCTC